TCTGTCTCTCGGTCTCACAGGCCTTTCTCGAGTGGTCACCGCTGCCTGTGCACAATTATTCCCTCCCATTTGCCTCTTAGCTGCAACTTCGGATTTGGCTCGATAATTGAGGCGTTCTGAGTACACCCGCTGTTCAAACGCTACAATGCCACCTTTTTCTTACCACACGCGGTCCAGAGAATTACGTCAGAGGTAGAGAATAGTTTTAAGAGGGTCTAACTTGTCACTAAAGGATGGGCTCTTTAGTGGAGAGGAATACTTCGGCTACAAAAAATCCAGTAAAAGTTTATTAAGGGTAGCACCACGGACACTAAAACCCTAGAAATCTGTTATAGAGGGCCGATGGTAATGGGGTTCATACGGGTGAGGCATTACGGAGACGCAAGCGATAAAATAAAGAGAATAAAGGAAACCAAAAGGGAAATGGACGATAAAAGTATTATAAAAAGCTGTTATTTAGCAACGAAAAAGCTCACAATAATTGTAAAATAAATATAAAATAATAAATTCATTAATTTGATTTAGTTAAATAGATTAACAGAATAATACACTTAAACAAGTTACCATTACCACCGGTTCCGTATAACAGAATTCTGGGATTTTTGGTTTCCGTAGAATTATTACTAATAAACTTTTATAAAAAATCCCCAGTGACCTAACGAAGTGAATAATTTATTCTTCCCACAGGTGGTTAGAGTGTTAGCTGTTCTAAAGCCTTCCTCGTACTGTCTTGGGTTAGAATCCTACCGAGACCTCCGGGGTTTTTCGCAACTGGGTCAAATGAACTATCCAACTCTGTCAAACTTCCGACTTATTAAGTGTGCTTCCGGTAGTCATCAGATGGGTTCTGGATAGAATGATTAGGAAATCCTGGTTGGACAGTCAACTTACTGTATCAGAATAGGTGGATTTCAATACGCTGTAGTAGGCTAGGTGGGTACTTTGACACAAGTGCGATTAAAATTGCGGCTGTCGGTGGAAGCCTCGTAGCTCCGTTGGCTAGAGCGTTGATTGTATTAAAGCCTTTCCTTATTGCCTTGGGTTCGAAAACCACCGAGGCATCCGATGTTTCCACAATTTGGTCAAACTAATTGGCCAAATCTGCCACTAATCCCCTATTCATACGACGCGTCATCGTTTTATGGAAAAATGACTTCTAAGCTATTTACAAAAACTTCAGAGGGGCTTGAGGCGCTCAAAGGAGCTTGTTTTGATAATCAAAGACTGGTTAATTGAATGTCACAAGAAGCATTTAAGGGCATTTTACGACTTGATGGAAGAGATGACGCATATTTATACCTGGAGGCTGACGAAGGAAGCGAAGGTGCATCGATTCCACTTCCTCAGAAGAAGGGACGGACATTGGCAACACCCGATAGCCCCGTCGGGAGTTGGAGCTGCGCACACAGACGCCATCGTTTCCACTTGCGCGAACGCCGTCGAGGATGGAGCAAACGAGGGAGTCCCTGAAT